GCGTGGCGGACGCTCCGTGCTTGTAAATGCGCCTCCTGCGCCCGGTTCCCAGGCGGCTGGGCCCAGCATTGTGCTCTGTCCACAGCCTGTTAACTGTTTGTGACATCACATCCTCGTTGGAAGGGGGGTTTTTAGCTCCGTTTACTGGGGTGACCTAGGCTAACAGGGTCACGTAGGCTTCAGGCGTGGGTGTCTAGGAGGCAAGATCCGTGTGGTGCCACCACCACCCAAAGGCAAATCATCTTTTTTAAAAAATATATGTTTTATTGATTTCAGAGCAAGGAAGGGGAGGGAGAGAGAGAAACCTCAGTGATGAGGGAGCATCATGGATCGGCCGCCTCCGGCAGCCCCACCCTGGGGATCGAGCCCACAACCTGGGCATGTGTCTTTGACGGGAATCGAACCCGGGACCCTTGAGTCTGCACGCCGACGCTCTCACCACTGAACCACACCAACCAGGGCGTCATCTCATCTCCTGTCACCATACATTAGGCCCCCTTCACCTCCTCCCCCGCCTTCCCTCTGGCAACCAGGACACGGCCGTTTGTGTCCACGAGTTTCCGTTCTAGGTCCCACGTGTGAGTGTGATCGTGCGGCTCTTGGCTTTTGCCGCCTGAGTTCGCTCAGCAGGACGCTCTCAGGGCCATGCGGCCGTCCAGGGGCCGTGTTTCGTCTTTTCTGACGGCGACGGTCTCGCTGGGCGCCCTCACCTCCTCCATCTGTGGGGACCCCGACCCCGGAGCACTGGGCGGTTCCTCCGTGCTTCTGTCCACGTCTGCTTCGCACGCCCGTCGCTTCCAGGTCAGGCTCACGTGACGTTCATGCTTCCTTCCTCCGCGCTGGGCGCCACCCCCCCGCCCGCCCCCGGTGATGGCGGCAGCGCCCCCTTGGTCTCCCGTGGCCTTGCTCCCTGGACCGTCCGTTGCCATGGCGAACGGCCTTCGTCTTGTTTGTACTTTTTTGCGAAAGCTTCACTGGGGCATAACTTACGCCATAAAATGTATTTCGCTTGTGCCATAAAACACGCCCAATGTCAACGCGCCAGCACCTGGGCG